AAGCTTTGACTTCAGGCGACAACCCGTGAACCTTCCACGGCAAGGTCTAGGGGACGGCAGTGGAAGCCCTTCAAACTGGACGCCTGGCTGCTGTAAGTTTCCGAAGGCGGCTCGCTGTCGGGCGTGACAAACAGCTCTGCAACTTCGGCCGGTGCGACATCCTGGCCGCGCAATCGCAAAACATCGGAAGACAGCCGTAGGGAGATGCGGACGCAGTCTAGATGTCAGTGTTTCGAAGGAAACAATCCGCAAGGACAATCTTGGTACGACGTATTACAACGTTCATGTGATGTCTCACGCCTTTGACGTCAAGCGCTTTGCTGTCTTTTTCAGCATGTTGTCACTATGTTGTTAGTCACGCCCGAGCTTCCGCTCTGGTTTCTCAACCCGATAGATCGTGTGAGATCATCCTTCCAAGAACCGGAGCCTGCCCTGCCTGCTGCGCCGCGTCTTTCAGGTATCGTTCTCGGTGAAATACCTTTCTTTCAGGAACCGCTTGGTGGGGAAAGTGGACTCATTGTCACCGCCTTGCTTGCAATGACACTGGGCGAACAAACAAGCCTAGCCGAAGCACACAGTGAAGTGGGGGATAAGCCCAAGGTCGCGTGTGACCGTCCAAGTGATATTGCCACCCAGCTCCCGGTATAAGAAGGGGTCTGGTTGCTCCAGGTTCATGGTTCATGGAGGTGCCATGTTACGAGAACTTTGCGTAGTCAGCCGGCTGGCTAAGTAATTCAAGACGCCAAACTCGAGTAGGTCGTGAAACGCCACGAAGATAAAAGCTCGTTCCGTCGGACAAGTCCCTGTGATTGGCTCCTCTTCATCCAAGTCCTGGTCCAGGAACTCCACATCGGCAATCTGCCTTATTGCTGGCGCTTGCAGACATTACAAGGCTGATGGCCGATGGTACTGGTGGTGTGGAAACAAGGTTCTTGGGCTAGGCTTCCTGGCCCGTCGCGAGCTGCAGAGCAAACTCTGCACTGCTCGAAACCTGACTTGTGCCCAGCTGCTGCGTTGCGCCCCCTAGACCTCATCCAAGCCACACATTCGTGTCCGAGATTAGCAGTGACGCCGGGGTTGTCTGCTCAATCACAGGCGACTTGGTGTAAATGTTGACATACTCGAACCAACCTGAATGACAATTTGGGCTACGCAAGTCTGAGCCCCCTAGTAAACCAGAACTATTTAGCTATTTGCTGCTGGAACATGCCGGCGAACATAAGCAGTACAGCGGCTTGCAGTCCACACTTCTGCCCTCACCCTTGGCCGCAGGCAGAGAATGAGAACATCATAGTCCAACCCGAATTTACTGGAAACCTCTGCCGAGCGTCGGATGGGAGTCTCAGCCGGCAGCTGAGCTAAGTTTGTACCGATTGGGAGGTCCTGATGCAGATGCTATTTTGTCAGCTTGACAGTCTCTCGTGTTGCGTGGGATGCTTGGTCAGCGGAATGAATTCTGGAGCTAGCAGTGGCCCCGTTTGCATTGCTTCGGTTCTCTGTTCGATAGAAACTAGCAGCGGACAGAAAATCACCTCCAGGCAAACAGCCGAACGCCCAACGCTGCAAGCACATAGCCAGAATCGTAGGATCAATAGTCTCGCACATCGTAATGTCTGCAAAACCAAACCCACACTGCAGCAAGACATCTGGCTTGGCTTGGAGCTCCAAGCAGTAGTAAACTGTCTCGAGCCTCCGCGACCATTGATCGGTTTTCAGCACCGAAGGTGACCGACAGATAAGTTCGTGTGCTTGGCTTCTTCTTCACATGAGGTGGCAACATGGTGCAAAGAGTCGAAGAGAAGCTGTCATCAGTCAAAAGATTCAGAATGTCATCGTGGCCACCATGCAAGACTCCGAGCTGTCTGTCGGCTGACACCAGCTAACCTGAACAAGCCTAACACCTGGTCTTCACCAATATCTCAACATGCAGCTCTTAGCTGGCATGTGGCCTACAGTCGTTCTTGGAGCTGTGCTAGATCTACTTAGTCCGCCACTCAAACCTTCTACCTCACGCCACAGTCTGACGCCATGCCACCGAGTCGAGCGTGACTTGCAAGAAGTCGATGGGCTTGACCCAAGTAGTATCGCCGCCTCGCTCGTCTGCAGGCTTGCCAGGCTTTGGCCTTGCTTCTCCCTCCTGAATGCACCCATTTACCGTAACGAGTATTCACCACTAGACCTCTAAGCCCAGCGCGACTTGTTAAGGACTGTTGAGCTACGAATGACGTGCGAAGAGCTTCCTGCGCGACGCGCCTGCGGGGGCCTACGCTCTCCACCTGGATGACCACGTGGAAACATCTGAATCCCAAGTTCTTTACATACCGTAGCGGAAACATCCAGAAAAATGAAAGAACTCAAAGCTTACACCTAGGAACATGGCAAGGAAGGGAGAGAAAGAGAGAGAGAGAGAGAGACAGAGAAAGAGAAGCGGAGAGATTCAGTCGTCGAACAAAAGGACAAAGGACTGAAGCACAAACACCTACACCCACCCACCCCCGGCCGAGGAAACTAGAAAGGCAAGAGACAACCCAAAAAAGGAGAGGCAAAGACAATGGCAACACCAGAGACACAAATCAACGGGCTGAATTGAATCAACAACGCTATGCGAGTTCAATCTGACTCCGTGCTACGGAAGAAAGAGTCTGTAAAATGTGCCAGTGGTGCACCCTCCAAGTGATCTCAAGTCGGTCTCCCGCATGTCCCCGCATCCCTGTCCCACACCTCCCCCGCTGCGAAGTCATAGACCTCGGCACAGTCAGGGTCACCACCGTCACCAGCTCCCAGTTGGCTCCAAAAACTATTGCGACAACAACAGATGTCAAATAGATGTCCTTGAGAGCCCAGCCCGAGCGTAGTGAAGATTCACTCACAACGAGCTGTCGCCAAGGAATTGCGAGCAAGACCTCTGCACACATCTGGTCTCCGGGAGGGTCAGCCTACGTTCCTCCGGCTTTGCATGGGCGCTCCCCCACTCCCCCTGAAGCACCAGAAAGTTGCAGTATGTCTTCGAGCTCATGGCCTTGGGACCGAACTCTGCTATGACGCCAGCACCTTCACCCACAGAGGTGGGCAAATGGGGTTTGGGTTTTAGTGATGTGGTTTCGGGTTCGAGGATTCTGGGGATTATCCAGGGATTCGGCGGGTTCTGCCGGGTGGAAGGCAAAGGAAACTACTCTTCCTCAAAGGGGATAAACCTGTAATGATGGGGACGCGTGTGCCCAAAGCAACTTAAGCATGCGGAACAAAACTGATGTAAATACCTGCCTGAAGACTTGGCCAATTGGAATTTTCAGAGGCTTGCCCGATGCAGCCGTGTGTAAGGGAACCCCGCCTTCTGTGCAGAGCACTTGGGCTTGTACTGATACCTATGAACGAAGTCTGCACATATGCCACGCAGTCATGCAGTACGCAGCAGTGCAGTGCACAATGCAACCATAACCTGGGCATAGGAGTTCTTCCTTCATCTACACCAAAAGCATTTTGAGCCCTGGACATCTACCTAGATGTACATACATACAGGTGCCTACTGACAAAGAACTGCATTGTGACACTTGTTCAACGTCTCTCTGATTTCATGTTACAAAACTGAAGCGGGCGTGGGCGGAGGCGGCACTTGTTCTGCATCATCAACAACTCCGGAAAGTTCAGCGAAGCCGCGCTCGCGGAAATGCGGCCTGCGCAGAAACAGAGCGGGAGCTTTCCAATCCCATCTTGTCTTTGAGAGGCCGCAAAGCTTATTGTATGTAACGCTTCTTGGTGTCCTGACTAGCTCTACTTCGTTCTTGTTCTGCCACTAACGCTACGGCTCTTGCTGCTGCTACAATGACTACATCATTATTATTATTATGGTCTTTTCCAACATCGCGTCGTATGATTGCTTCTGCAACTCCGACGAACCTCATTGTCGCCGAGATAAGGACGGCAGCACGCAAGCGCATGACACAAACTGCCGCGTGCTGGGCTTTCGCTAATTGTCCCGGGTTCCACTGGATATTTGTTTTCGAAATTCTTGGATGCTGACACTTCTGACCTCAGCTTCCTTGCCTCGATCCCCTCAGAAGCCGATGGCGAGATCTTCTCGCACATTGCGGCCCTGGCACATAGGGCTTGGGGCTACGGCCAAGGCCAAGCCCTATGATTGCAGATTTCACGTCCTCTTTCACTGACTTGGCACGAAATTTTGCCCTGCCTGTCTGTGCCCGACATGGTGGGCCTAAACCAATCCCTGAACTCCGCTTTCCGGCTGGCTCTTGAGGGATTGTGGCAGCGGGCCAAGTCAATTTGACAAGTTCGAAAACCACACTGTTGCTGTGAAGCAAAATGCATACTTGCAAACTGCATACTTGCTGCGGTCTGTTTTGAATTGCTGGTCGGTTTGTCTTCATCGCCGTCCACTGACCAGCTTGGCGACAATGATCACAGATAGCACCAGGATCACGAGAATTCTCGAAATGGCCGCGCTTGGGCGGTCTGTTTTGAATTGCTGGTCGGTTTGTCTTCATCGCCGTCCACTGACCAGCTTGGCGACCATGATCACAGATAGCACCAGGATCACGAGGATTCTCGAAATGGCCGCGCTTGGGTGTGTCCACATCGGCGGATTTTGCAACGCCAGCCTTCAAGGCACTTGTTGTGAGCACATGGATGTTGTTCTAAATTAAAGGAGCCATGCCCAGGCATTAGGACAGTGCTTACGCCCGCCCTTGCGACGCGCGCCGGGGTTTTCACTCATGTCAACATAACCCCTTCGCAAACAATTACTCATGCTTCAAGGTAAAGCGGTCAATTGACATGCATTTCGACTTAGTTAGGGATTGTAACACCTGGTAATGTGGTAAACTCCAATACAAAGCCATACATCGCGATGCATATCTTATAATGGTATGTATCTTGCGCCCGCCCTTGAGCAACTGCTGCCCACGGTCCGAAAGACCTGATTTCCCTTAAATCTCATCAAGTTATCAAGTTTTCGATCTTGAAGCCCTTGCCAGCCAAGTCACGCAAAGCGCGCTGGACCGCATGGCACGTCCGGTGCGTTCGCCATGCCCTGATCCCCTGAGCCCCGGCTCGTCTGTCTGGGGCCGAACAACGGCAGGACACGGCAGGTCGTCCTTTGCGCAAACCACACACATGAAAAACAAATCTTGGGGAGAATGCTCAAGCCCTCGCCTTGTGATCCTCCAGGAGCTGGTGGCCCACCATCGATTGCAAAAAGACAACAGCGCACGAGGTCCGGAGACAGCCTCGCGCTTCAGTTTGCCGCACATCTCAATCGTGCCCTTTACAGCTCGCATGCCGAAGTCGTAGTGAAACCTGGCGAGGGGGAACCTGAAAAAACTTCAGGACATCCGCATCATCGGGACACCGGGATTCGAGCTGTGAAGACCCGAAGCCCGAAGCGAGGGGTGAAGGTCGTCACCTGAACCGGAATGCGCTGTGCCTGGATACGACACAGCCAAGCTTTCGCTTTGAGGCCCCCTGCCATCTTCTTCCATCAGGATCTTTGCCTCCGCAAATCCGAAACCGAACCTGCGATTTGCAACATGGCCCCTGCGCTTCTCTGCCGAGCGAAGCTAGAGCAGCCAGGAGCCCCGCATGATTTCCTGGCATAATCCGGCACCATCACGGCCTCTGGATGTGCATCCGCACTGCAGCAAGAAACCTCGAAAGCCCAAGCACCGTGCCTGGGAAATCTGACGACAGGAAATTCTCGGAAAGCTCTGCTCGCCCGGCATAGCCGCCTGCAATGTTCCGCTTAATTTCGATAGGAAGACCTTAAGACCTTCAGTTTCACAAGACTCGTGATTAGATGCAAATGGCCCGGGTTCAGGGTGATGAACACGTTGAACGTTGGCTTCATGACCTCGCAGCGTGGGATTCGGGAGGCTTGGCATGACTCGCTTGGGGCTTCGGCAATGAGGGTCCACTCAAACTCAAGCTCAACCATCTCGTTGTAGCTACCCAGCCTGTCAAGGTCGCTTCAAAAGGCCCGTTGCAAGACCGCTCGTGATCATGCTTTTTTTCCTGGGCTGACAGGACCGCAGAACCCTGGCATTTACCAAGAGCCTCCACAAAATATGTCTCCCAGTCACCGAACGGGACCCTCAGCTGCTGGGCGATCACGGACAACACCTGAGAGCAGAGGTGCCTTTCTTCTCGCTCAACACCGAAGTCGCTGCTTCGGTGGTGAGGACCTCGATGTTGATGCGGCTGGGCTCATCGAAGCAGCACTGGGCTCCCGCAAAAGCCAGACCTCCGGCGGTTCAAAGAGATTTTCCGGTTGGCGTACAGGAGGCGACCGTGAATTCCCGACCTAAGAACTTTCCTGCCACGACCGCCACGATGTAGTCCATCTCCCGAGAGCATTGAAGACGACGAACTGTTTCGCCGGAGCCTGCTGCTTCTGTCCCTTGGAATCTTCCAAAACTCAAGGCACTGAAGGGCCTTGGCCAGATCCTCTCTGTGCACCAGGCTCCATCAGCGTGGCGTATCACCTGCAGTCTGCCGCCCGCAGCTCGTATCAAAGAGGACGCTACTCAGCAAATAGAGATCCTGTTCGCCACCCTATACCTCTTCGTAGATCTGCGTGACCAGCTCGAAGGGTCGGCGACCGCACCCCCAGAGCTCTAAACTAAACCATCGAGAGGGAAGGCCCTGTTGAAGGATACTCGGATAGACGTCTGCAATGGAGGGTGCGCAATTATGCTCCTCGCAGTCCCTAACAGACATGTGGCCTGAAGAGAAAAGAGACACTACAGCTTCGCTGTGCAGTCTGTCTTGGTGCATGAATATACTGTATATGATCGTACCAACATGCGCCCAAGCCTCCACGGATAGGCTCTGTAACATCACTTCGCAGCCGCAGGATGCCGCAGGCCTCCCACAATTCCCCTTGCCCTCCGCAGCCAAGATCGAAACAGACTGGAGATTCAGAGCTCAGCACGAAATCATCACAAAGCCTCCCTCGAGCCGCGTCACGATGCCGCATCTGAGCCCTGGCCTCTCGAGCAGTTCGGATCTTCGGGGTGTTCAGGAAAGGTCCCTAGCTCCGCCTCTGATCATCTTCTCATCTCGACGCTCGAACGAATGAAGGCTCTCAACTTGCCGGGAGCCCCGGCACGGCAAAGCCGACGTCAGCTCTGCAGGCATCCGCCTGCAGCAATCGCTCGCCTTAGGGTTGACTACAAGGCTTCACAGATTCCTGGGCTTCACTAGGACTGCAGGCCCGAATGAAAACCGTAGGCCAAGCCATGCGTCGGGGCTGCCTTTGCATGGTGCAGTGATTCGGAATGTCACCGCTCAGTTAAAACCAGTCGAGAAGTCTCAACTGCCAAAAGCCCCAAGCTGTGAAGATTGCTCGGCCCGTGGCAGTCACCGCGGGTGCGAAGATGTCCTGGCGCTGGAACTGCTCGATCTCCTTCTCGGCTGAATGCGGTGCATGCGGAGAACTGATTTCTGGAAATTGGTCGCCTAGCGCCTAGCTGCAGTCGCCATGTTCGAAGGCCTCCTCGACGCCTACTTCAATGATTTTCAGACAAGGATTACGTGGTGTCCTTGTGCCTCTCCACGCAGACCGTGTAAAGGCGAGCGTCACTCCAATCTTCCGGTCGAGCTCCTGTTCAGCTGCAATTTTCCAAAACGCTGTCAGAAAAAAAGGGTCACTCAGGGGAGCGAGAGGACCGAAAGGGAAGCCATGCGTTCCTGCTCTACCGGGCCTAAGCAGGCTCCTGGCGTCCACCGCCACAGCCAGCTGCTTGTCCAGGCGTCCCAGCGTCTTCAAAGCATGATCTTTGAAAGCACAGCTCCGCTGGCCTTTTGAGAGCCTGCAGCTAAAAGGGCTGAACAAACGCCTTCAGGCGATCGCTAACATACACGAAAGCCTGTGATCCGGTGATCATAACTCGTCTGAAAGTAGCTCAGCTCAGAGTGAAAACCAAAGCAACACTCGGCAAAAACGGAAGCATTTTGTCATGATGACCGCAAATGTGTAAAGTCGCCCTGGCTCAGACATCGGCTTCCTACAAGGCTGCTTGCAAGCCTTGGGACAGCAATGGCTCCCGCCTCGCGGCAGATGTTCTCACCCGATCACAGTCCAGCCAGAGCGCCAGGTATTCGCTCTTGGATGCGTTCCTGGGTCCCATCAACTTCGTTGCTCAAGCTGGTGGATGCTAGAGGTGAAGCTCTAGCACGTTTCATACTTCTGAAGCACTTCGAAAACCCAAACATCACTATCGACAGAAGACCTGACAAGCTTTTCCAAGCTTCAACTTCTTGGCTACCGCTCCAGGCGCAGTCTTCTTGACGTTGGCACAGAAGAGGTCCGCCAGATTCAAGGGCATCCCATCCTGCTTCTGGGGAGATTTCGTGTTCACTGTAGAATATCTGCGTCAGGTGCCGGCTCCCGAACACTAGAACGAAACGATGAAGAACGTCAGCTTCCAGCAGTCTTGGTTACCGGTCCTGTCACGGTGGCATGCTCCGAAGGCCTCCAAGTCAAGCCCGAAGATACGCCCCGATGGCAGCGGTCCGGAGGATGCGGCACTGCTGTGCGGGCAGGAACCAAGTCACAAACCTGAGCTGCTGGTCGATTCCAGGTCTTGCGGTAAACTGGACATGAAAACAATGAGAACTCCGTCTCAATCTGCAATCATCTGCAATCTACAGACGAGGCTGTCGGCATTTAACAGCTGGGCGACTCGAAGACTTGGACCGCTCGGCTGTGCGTGGCTCTGCCCTTTGCGGGAGCGCAGGAGGCCATTGGAGAGGCTCCTGGGTTTCTGTTTGTCAGGTCCGAGGTGTGGAGATCGAGGAGGTTCCGGCTGAAAAGGGTTCTGAAGCGATCTGCAGCGGTGGGAAATCCATAAGAGTCATGAGACTGGCGGTGAACAGAAATCTTCCTCCCCAAAGCAATCTTTGAACCGAGACCAACGATTTTCGGGGGTCTACAAGGTCAGGGAGCAGGATGTTTTGGCCTTGAAACATGTGCAAGAGGAAGGCTTAGTTGGGCTCGTGATAGCCAAGTCTGGGTTGCAACGTCCTGCTCGCCTGAACTTATTACGGAGCTTCCTTTCAATTGACAACGCATCTGCTTCATGGCGGCATGCAGGGCTTGAGCACGAAGGTAACTATGCACTGCAACGACCCTGAGAGCAAGTGCATCTTCCGCAACATGGGCTGGAGATGCAACAACTCAAACTGTAACGCTGTAGGCATGCGATGGGCGCCGATAGCACGGAAATCTGACGGCGAGGAGCTTGGCCACCAGTTTGTCCTCCGCCACCATCAGCACCTGGAAACCCCGGCGTTCATGGAGCCATGCCCTCATGGTTGCAAGGTCTCCTCGACGGTTTCACCCCTAGAAGTAAACACCCCTTAGCTCTGGAATGCTGCATGTCTGGAAGCCTTTGGCACCTCAGGAAACAGCTCCAAAATCAACAGCTGCCGCCGTTCGTGCTGCTGCTACAACTTCTGCGCTGAAGATTACGGCAGAGTTGGAGGTGACCTTTGACGAGTAAACTTCTCAGAAATATCGTTGCTGGTTCTGGCTCTGATACTTGGGATAAGCTGTGTTTCGTAGGAATCATCCTCAAACCGTTTGTTCCGAATCCTAGCCCCCGTTTCTGACCTCTTCGTGGAATGGTGCCAGGATCAGCCACCGCAGCCCGAAGCCAGGGACGGACATCCCATCCTTCGCTCAAGGAGGCGCAAGAGGGAGGGCCTTGTAGAAGGATAGACATCTTGAATGGAAGGTGCGAACACACAGAAGCGATTGTGCTCATCGCTTCTAGCATGACAATTCCTGACAGAGATGCGGCTTGAAGACACTGAACGGGCGGCTGCACAGGTGACTCTTCGGCCCACCCACTGATCTTTTTGACAAGCTTCGGGTGCGATCAGGCCGGTGCTTCTTGCCCTGCAAGCGAAATCAAACACAGACGTCGGCCAATGGTCTGTAGTTTCTGATGCCATGAGCCCCTGCTGTTTACAAAATCCAGGTGTTGCACCTGCAGGCTTCACTCGTGAATAGTCACGAATCCAAGCCTTCTCCCCTGACAGTGGCACCAACATGGCTACCGCGGCTAGTGCACAGAAAAACCCTGCCACGCACGAACACACACGACACGCACATGCGTCGTTTCCCAAGACTCATCACAAAAAATGCCGGCAGAGTGCGAGCCAGGGTTTTTGGTTGCCCAGGCTAGCAGTCCCCAGGTGCCCCCAAAAGATTTGAGGGTTTTGTGAAGTGGGCTTAGGCTTAAAGGTTTGCACTTCTCTCTGAAAGGCATCGATGTTTCTTCAGAAAGACACCAAAGCGCACCCATTGCGCGCACACACACACACAAAGATGCAGGGCATCGAAATACACCTCCTGATTGATGTCTTCCACAGCGCCGCTAAGCATGCGCCTCCGTGCTATCGGCTGTCCATTCTGTCGAAGCCATGTAGTAGGGCAAGAGCTCGCGGTGCCGCAACCTCGCGCAGGCTGTGCTTCAGATTGCGGTCAACATCACCGACCCACACGCAAGATGCATGTCCACCAACCAAACTGGCTCCTGACATCAAGAACCCGGCGTCTTGCACGGCCAAATAGTGGGGCTGCCAGAAACACGATCTGCACAAATCCTCCACCAAAAAACCGCCGAGGCACAGCCAGGGAGGCACGGCATGGCTTCCCTCCCTCTCCGGGGAGCGGCCACGCCCCGCACGGCGGCGCTGGATGTGCACCTCGCGAAGCTGTTGCTTGTGTCAGATTCAGACACTGTCATTCCACGTTCTCATTGTAAGAACCCGCTTCGAAATGCCTGCGATTCGCATGCAGATTTGTCCGCGATATGTCCAGACTCTTGGAAACCCGATGGCCCCTTGAATTATTTGCGATGCTCAGAGCATTCGGTTTCAGCCGAAGGTCGCGGAAGGGCGCATCATCCGCCCCAGCGGCAGTGCGCGCGGTGCACGCCAGCCCAGCTGCCGCCGCCACGGCCCCTGCGAGCAAGGTATGCCTGTCAGGGCCCGGCCCAGGAGTAGGGTTTCAGATCAGCCATGGCCCTGAACTCCCTGCATCCCAAGCCCATGAACAATGCTTGTCACCCAGGCAGAAAAGCATCTCAGTATCGACAACGGAGAGTGGGATGGTCAAGAGTGGACAAGCTCTGAAGGACACTGCTTGGCATGTGTATGCAGCAGAACTTCTTGCCTTACACCTTCCCGTCCCGGAAACCTCCCACCCCCAACGATCAAGCCAGCCCAGGCGCT